AACACCCATAGAATGAATGCTGGAATGGAGAGATGTAATAGGATGAATGACAGCAGGTATAGCCTGACTGCTCTACTCGCGATAACGCATGAGACGATAGTCCACTACGAGAGACCCAGTTGGAGACGGTGGATGACACCCAGAAGAGACTAAGCACACGGAGACATGTGCGGGACTACAACCACGCTGAAGGGTGCGGATCCAAGGCCTTGAGACGAGTGAATCCATGCGACGTGCGAGTTCCACCAAAATCAAAAGAGAACCAGACAGACAGACGAAACGAAAAAAGAGAAGACAAAAACTAGGACAGTAGAAAACCAATACGAGAACCACGAGTGAGCAAGAGACTCCAAGAGAGCAACGACAGGGATCACCGGGTCCCAAGACAGCGACCCCTCAGAAACCCAGACCAATGGGGCGGGCTCCAGGTGCTCGCGGCTCGAAAGACGGATACAAAGTCACGACCGGCAATGACAGCGTCCCCAGGAATACAGAGCAGGAAGAGCGAAAAAAGACGAGAGAAGAGAGAGAGAGAGAGAGAGAGAGAGAGAGAGACAGCGGAGACAGTCAGCCAGCCAGGCATATAAATAGAAAGAGAAAGACGGACCCACAGAGAGAGAAGTAGGCCCCAGAAGAGGGAGAGACCAGCAGGCCCTCCTGAGCCAGGGCAGCTCCAGGATTCTGGAAATCAGACTCACTCACCCCAGCCTTCACACTCCCTAAACCCCACAGACCCTTTCCCAGGCCTGGCTTTCTCCATCCACCTCTGCTCCATCGTGGCCTGTGGGTAGAGCTGGAAGAGAGGTAGGGAGCGGAGGTGGCCCATGGGCAGCCGTGGGGGCATTGATTAGCAGCTGAGAAAAGGGGCACCCTGGAAGGGCTTACTCTCAACTCAATGGCCCTGCTCCACCCCGGGCTTGGTCTCACACAGGCAGTGATCCCAGAGCAACTTCCTGGCACAGATGGGAAAACTGAGGTCCAGAGAGGGGAAGGGACTCCCCCAGTCCTCTCTCTTCAGTCTCCAGACCCCACCTGGGCTTGCTCTTTCATTTTCAAATCACTTCTGCCCATCACTCAATACAAGAACGCTGTGGACAGACAGCCTCTCCTCTGTCTCCAAGATGGGGCACGTGCGGGTCTTCCTCCCGGCCCCCAGACTCACCGCCACGAAGAACAGGGTGAAGAGGTAGACCATGGCCTCCATGTGGAACCGCCTCTTGGCCGCGATGCTGACAGTGGGGAGGAAAGCCAGGCTGCTGAGGGTAGGCAGGAGTAGCTTGGCCACCAGCGTCCCCATAGGCCTGGAGGGAAGCACTGGCTGCGGCGGGGTGGGTGCTGGCGCCCTGGGTCCCCAGCACAGGAGCACGAAGGGGGAAGGCCAGCTCCCTTTGGGCAGGGCTCTGATGGCAGCTGCCGGGAGCGCCCACAAGAGGGTTTAAATGCCCTGGACGGAGGCGGGGATGTGCGTGCACATGTCAAGCAACACATGGGGAGGGCCGACAGCTGACGCGCCACGTGACCAGCACTTGTCTCTGATTTTCTCTTTTCTTTTTTTGAGACGGAGTCTCGCCCTGTGGCCCAGGCTGGAGTGCAGTGGTGTGATCTCGGCTCACTGCAACCTCCGCCTCCCGGGTTCATGCCATTCTCCTGCCTCAGCCTCTGGAGTAGCTGGGATGACAAGTGCCCGCCACCACACCCAGCTAATTTTTGTATTTTTAGTAGAGACAGGGTTTCACCGCGTTGGCCAGGCTGGTCTCAAACTCCTGACCTCAGGTGATCCGCCCACCTTGGCCTCTCAAAATATTGGGATTGCAGGTGTGAGCCATTGCACTTGGCCTTCTCTTTCTTTCTCTCTCTCCTTCCTTCCTTCCTTCCTTTCTTCCTTCTTTCGTTCGTTCGTTCGTTCTTTCGTTCGTTCGTTCTTCCTTCCTTCCTTCCTGAGGCCAGAGGAGTTAATTCAAGGATTCAAGGAGACTATATTTCTTTTATCTGAGGCAACAACCTTGGGGAAAAGTCCCCAATAGGACAATCCCTGCCTTCCAGACATTTTCTATCCTGGTTCTCCCCCCAGAATGAGAAGCCTGGTGGATGCTGCTGCTTGGGTCACGTGTCCATGGGTGGCCTGAGGTGAGAGAACCCAAGATTTCGCCAATTCGAATCATTAAAAGGACCTTGTAGATAAATTTCCCACCTTACCAGCCCACATATACTTCTCACTCATCAGCTCTTGCCCCACACAGGTTTCCGTGGTGGCTAGACTAATGAAACTAACATTCTTTTCTACTTGGTTACACTGTTTCACATGATAAGTAAACAACCGAGGACCATCTCTTTCAGTGTTCCAAGCACCAGGCCGGTGCTTGCCCTCTTGGTGTTTTTTCCGTCTTCTATTGACAACAGCTCTTTGGCTGGCCTTCTGGAAATTACCTTCCCTCGTTGTAAGAGGTCTTGGGGGAGCTGTCTGGCAGGGTGCCCCCTATCCCCTGGCCAAGGAATGATGGGTGTGTGTGGTCTGAGCTACCCAGGCAGACTCTCTTTCCCTGGATTGATTAATTGATTTGTTGTTCGCAAAAGAACAGCTTTTACTTCCATTCTCTTTTTTCACTGTGATGTAATTCACATAGGACAAAATGCACAGATTTGACATGTATAGTTTGATGAAAATGCACCTTTGTAACCACCACAGTGTCCATCCTCCCCACCCAGGATATTCTCCTGAGCCCTTTCCAGTGAGCCCCCTGCCGAGGCAGCCACGGATGTGATTTCTGCCCCCATGCCTGACTGCCTGTTACAAATAGACCATGGACTCTTTTGGAGCTGGCTTCTTTTGCTCACAATGTAATGTCTATGCGATTTGTCCCTGTCCTACTG